TTTCTTGCTGATTTTCCTGAGTTCTATGTAAATTCTAGTTATCAGCCCTTTATTGGATGTGCAACATGCAAATATTTGCTCCCATTCTGTAGGTTGTCTGTTTGCTCTCATAGTTTCCTTGGCTGTGCAGAAGCTTTTTCATTTGATCAGGTGACCTTTCTGTCCTTATGGTTACACATTTTCCATAATAGCATATAAATGGAACTACCCAGTATGTCATCTTTGGGCCTGGCTTCTTTCGCTTAGCACAGTGCTTTTTAGATCTACCCAAGTTGATTGACGCATGACTGTATGAGTAGTTCATTCCTTTTCACGGTTTAGTAGTATTCCATTGTATGGCTCTACCATAGTTGATTTATCCTTTCGCTGTTTGATACACAATTGAGTTGTTTCCAGCTTGGAGCTATTTTGAATAAAGTTGCTATGAACATTTGCATAAGGTCATTTTGGGGACAAATGTTTTCAATACATAGGGGAGGCACTGCTGGGTTGTATGGAAATATATGTTTAACCTATAAAATTGTAACGTTAACTTATAAAGAAACTGTCAAAATGAGACCCAGGAAAACCTAGGTTTCCAGTCCAAACCCAGAGGGCTAAGAACGAGGGGAGCCACTGGTGTCCAAGGGAGGAAGATGGATGTCCCAGCTCAAGCAGACAGAGAAAATTGGTCCTTCCCCTGCCTTTTTGCTCTATTTGGGCTCTCAGTGGATTGGATGATACAGCCCACATTGGGGAAGGTGATCTTCCTTACTCAGTCTATGAAGTGAAATCCTAATTTCTCACAGACACACCCAGAAGTATGTTTTATCAGCTATCTGGGCATCCCTTAGCTCAGTCAAGTTGACACATAAAATTAACCATTACCACCATGTCTGTGGGAGTCTATGTTCAGATTCTCTGCTGGAATTTTGATTGAAATCACATTGAATTTATAGATCACTGGGGAGAATTGACATCTTAACACTATTGAGGCTTCTGATTCATAGACATGGTCTACTTTTACTCAGGTATTCTTAAATTTTTCTCAGCAATACTTTGTATGTTCAATGTACAGGTATTTGGTGTCCTCAATACTATCCTAAGTGGGCACCGCTTTTTAAATTTGTGCTCTCAGGCTTGGGCAGGGCCCCAAGGGTGCTCTCTTAGGTCTCCTGTCCTGCCCCAGATGATCCCTCTGTGCATCCAGTGGGGGGCTGAGGAAAAGAGCTGGTGAGTAGGTGCAGACGCCCATTGTCTGTGGGGCTCCCAACTATTCTCAAGTGTCACACTAACCTTTAAAAATTCATTGACATTTCAGCTGTATTTTCTCCCCTGTCCTATGGTGGCCACTGCTCCTGTGTTTCACCAAGGCTGGAACAAAGTCTCCATGTGTCTTGTCTCTCCTTAGAGGGGCTTGTCGCACTTGGGAATTTAGTTCATATGCTTGCCTTGCAGCCTCTGCTCTGATGGGCAGTGTATGACTTTGTAGAATACTGGGCTTTTGCTCGTTGTTAGGGTGAGAGTGATGTTCTCTCGGGCGTTCTACGCTCTAAGCAGAGTGTGGGTAACCTGTGGTCAGGGGAATGACCTGGGTTCCCAAGGGCCAAGTCGACAGTCCAGGCAGCCTTGGGCTTGCAGAGGTGGGAGGGTCATGGGGTACCTGGAGAAGGGGGACGACCCCACAGGCTGAGGTCTAGGGGTCTGGGGGAACCTAAACCCTGACTCAAGCCCACTCTTGTGGCACAGATGACAGCTCATCTGTCTCCCCAAGCTGACTGGGTCCCTTAAGCCCCATTCCAGGAATAACCTAGTGACAAATGTCACTCCTGGGAGGTGCCCTCATCATTGCAATACCTTGCATTTTCTGGCTACACTCTTTTCAGTGTTTTCACAGGGAGGCAAGGCAAATACACGTCTTCATTCCCATTTTTCAGATGAACAGGTGGGCCCAAAGGCTCCCTAGAGATGTCTTGCCCCCACCTCGGGCTCTGAGAGGGCCTAGAGGTCAGTAGAGGGGCTGGTTTCTGCGTCCTCTTCCTTGATTCAAGTACTGCGGTCCTGCTTCTAGATGTTGTGCTTCCGCCTGAGATGCTGATTGTGCAAAGGTTTCTAAAGTTACACAATTTAAAATTACTGATCCAACAGCCCTGCTCTTTGTCCCAATGATGGCAATGATCCACGGCCACTACCCAGAGCACGGTGTGAAGAAGATTCTTTGCAGGCAGCAGGCTCAGTGGGGGAGAGTGCAGTGACGAACTGGCAATGTCTGCCACGGGCACAAGATGCAGGCACGTTGGCACACATTTTCCATGTTACCCCTGCCCTGTGCAATGTACCAGGACACTGTTAGAGCCCGAGTGCTGGGCTCCTAGAGGGTCCCACTCTGCCCGTACTACCCCCATGGCAAGGATTGCACTGAGCCAAGGGGAAGTGCCCATCCAGGGCCCATGATCCCCTCCTTGCAGGCCACACTCTGGGGCCTGGGCTCACAGAATTCCCTCCCTGAATGATCCTAAGCCCACTTCTGGGGCCCATCCTCGCATCTCCCTAGGTCAGTCCCCCTAAGGTGTGACTGGGTCACCATGTGTGCCCAGTACAGACGAGCTGTCTGCAAAGGGGAGCCCCAAGGGCAGGCTGTTTGCCGAGGGACGTGAATGGAGTGTGGCCAGGAGGGCTAGACTGTCTGTACACAGGCGTATGAAGTCCGTCGAGGGATGAAACCAGGGGTGGAAAGAGAAGCGCACCCTGGGCTGGTGGCGGGAGGGCCCTTGTTTGTACTCGTGTCCTGGGTCTCACAGATGTTAGGGAGGGGCCTGTGATATACACACTGCAACAGTGTGGTGATGGATTAGTGATGTCTGATACGGGCAAGGGGCGAGGGGTAGGTCAGCAGTCGAAAATGACAGAGCGCAGGGTTCTTCAGCCCTCCCCGCCCAGTAAGATACATCACATTCCTTCCACCTCCTACCCAGCGTCCACATTCTACTGGGATTCTTCCAGGGAAAGGTCGCTCACCACCTTCCAAGACAACCACCCCTTGCATGCTTGTACAGGGACATTAGAATGCCCTGCAGACCCCAAAACTATCCCCCAGGCACCTCCCCCTTTGGATCAAGTTCTGGGTGGTGACTTGCTCACGGCCACACAGCTCCTCGGTGGTGGAGCCCAAGTGGGACCCCCAGGCCCCCAGCCCTGGTTTTGCCCCCTCAGAGGAGCCACGGAGTGAGTGGGGCTCAGTCAGAGAGGCTGAGGTCTGAGACTCTAGCCCCTGCCCTGTCTGTCCCCCATCCCCAGTCCTCTTGCTACAGCCCAGCCAGCCCTGTAGAGTTCTGTTCACTGCCCTCTTCCTCCAAAACAGAGAGAGAAAAAGGAAAACACATACAACATTTTGGGGTACAAAACAAAACACCAAGGGCAATGTTAATAAATACATAAAAGTTTAAAGACCTGGATTTCCAAGGCACAAGAGTTCACGCCCTTTATCTGGTTCCCACAGGAATGACCCAGTGTGCACCCAGCATCCTAGGGAGGGGGAGGGCGAGGGCAGCAGGTGGAGAGGGCACCTGGGAAGCCCCCCAGGACCTCTGTTCTCTAAGCAGTTGCAGGCCAGGGGCAGGGGCCCACTGCTCCTGTTCCTCCTGGCTGGCTCAGAATAGCCTCCTTCCCCGGGGAAGGAAGAAATGAGAAGCACCTCTATCACCTGGCAAGGACCCTGGGGGTGAGGGCCCCTGCGGGTATGCTGGGAACCTGGGCCACCTCCTGAGAGCCAGAGGGTCTAGGGCTGTTACCTGTCCCTTGGAGGTAACATGGAGGGCAGGTGAGCCCGGAGGAGGCCCTGCAGCACCATGGGTCAGTGTGCACTCTTCACCCCAGCCTGGGGCAGGGCTGGCATCCTGCCCTGGGGTACTCAGCCCGGGTGGCGTCAGTCACCTGCAGGGCCTGGCTGTGAGTGGACTCTCTGGTCCTCTGCCCTGGGGCCCCAGCACCTGCTCTTTGTCCCAATGATGGCAATGATCCATGGCCACTACCCAGAGCACGGTGTGAAGAAGATTCTTTGCGGGGAGCATGCTCAGTGGGGCAGACTGCAGTAACGGACTGCAGAGAACCACACAGCTCTCACCCAGCTTGAGCCAGGTGGAGAAGACCCCTGACTCCAGCAGGAGCGGTCTTCGGCAGAGGATAACGACTGAGGGCCCAGCCTGAGAAATCACGGCTCCTCTGTGTCGCACAGAGTCACCTCCAAGGCCCAGAGTCATGACCAAAGCTGCAGTCCTGGTCCAGCCAGGGGTCGAGCACCAGTTTGGAAAACCATGTACGGTGAGGATGGGGGCCCAGGTTGTCCTGAGCCCCCCTCTCTGGTGGACCAGGGTGGGATCGGGAGGCCAGCCTGTAACCTGCAGTCACCAGAAGTAACAGAAGTGACGTCCGCAGGGGCGGAGCATGGCCACAGGCGCTGCCCTCCAGCCAGCAAAGGCCTCGGCTGGTGGAGGTGCGTGGAGCCCTCGGCTACCAAGAGCTGGGCTGGGACGAGCTGCCTCCCACCCTCCCCAGCCCTGCGGCAGGAAGCCTCATGCCACATTCACCCCGGCCCCTTCCTCTCGGCCTGCTGAGAGCATCCCACCTCCCCTGGCCCTGCTTTGCCTTTATGAGCAGAGGGGCCACATAGGCAGGGTCCCATGGGGTCTCCACAGTTCTGGAGAAGGCGGGTAGCCTTTACAGCTCTCAGCCTGGGCTTCAGACCTGCCCGGGGCCCCGTGGCTGTGAGGAGGGGGCAGTAGCTGGCGCTGGTTGTGGCAGGAGGCCAACCAGAGCCCCTGAGAGGTTTGGCCCAGCCGCCGGGCTGCTTGCTGAGGTATCTCCAGGTAGGGCTCGCCCTGCTCTGTCTTCCTCCCTCCCCACCCCTTGGGGTAGAGCATCAAGCCCCAAACAACAAGAAGGCGAATAATTTAAAAGGAAGTCTGTGCCTGCCCCTGCCCCGTGTGTGTGTGTCCTCTGAGCCGGGGCTCCCCGGAGCTGCTCACAGTGTAAACGTCACTGGTGGGATGGTGGGGCGTGGCTCATGTCACCGGGGAGGTGGCAGGGAGGCTGGTACCTGGATGCTCGGGGTCTTCCCTGGGCCACCCTTTGTCCTTGGAGGCTGGCACAGGTGCCTGAGTCCAGCCCCAAGGCTGTCCCCCCAGGGTGGTAGGGGAGGTGCCCCAGAATGCTCTAGGGCTCAGTTTCTGGGGGGCAGAGAGACGCTGGGTCACCGGGGAGCTTGTGTCCGGAGGTCCTGGGAGCTGTGTGGGTCGGCCATGCCGAAGGTCATCTGATCCCGCTGGCTCCCTGGTGGGCTCCACAGCATCTGGAGGGGCCTCGGGTCCTGGTAAGGGGCTCCCAGGCGTGAAGACAGTGGGTGGCGAGGTCAGGCCAGGGTCTGGGCTAGCGTCGGGGCCCATGGCCTTCTTGGTACAGGACTCGCAGCACAGCCGGCGGTAGCCAGGAATGGAGCAGTAGCGACCGAGCACTTCCATCTGGCAGTAGATGGACCTGTCCCCCAGGCAGGGCTCCGCTGCACACACAGCACAAGGACCGGTGCCCATCAGCGGGGGGACACCAGGACACGGGCCCCACCTCTCCCTCACCACCAACTGCCCGCCCTGCACCCCTGCCCCTCCTGGACTCACTACAAAGCCTCCTCCCAGAGGGGGCACGGGGCCGCCCGGCAGGAGAGCGAGCCCTTTCTATATGGAAGAGGAACTAGAATCCTCTAGAGCAGTAGATCTCAAAGTGATGTCTCCACTCACACACCATCGGCATCACCCGGAAGCTTATTGGAAATGCAGATTCTCAGGCCTCTCCCAGAACTACTGCGTCAGAAACACTCAGGAGCACTGTGCTCTCACAGCCCTCCAGGTGTTCGGCTGTGTGGGAAAGTCTGAGAACCATGGCCCTAAGTCACTCATCCCCAAACCTGGCAGCACACGGGCATTACTCGGGGAGCTTCACAAACAGCCGATGCCACCTCTTCGCCCAGACAGACTGGGCAGTCTGGGGTGTGGCTGGGACGTGGGGTGATTCTAACTGCAGCTACTGTAGGTGGAAGTGGTAACCCTCACCTCCTCCTGATCAACCCAGAGGAATTGAACCCACTCCAGCCAGTGCCAGGCTAAAGCCCAGGCAACCCACACTGGTGACAAGCAAAGCAAACACCCTGCCACTAGTACACACACATCTGGACATTAGGTCCTCCACTACTAAACTTGGAATCAAGCAGAATTAGGCTCGGATTCCAGCTCTACCACTTAAAAGCTGTGAGGCTTGGGCCAGTCACTTAAGCTCCAAGCCTCAGTTTCTTCACCTGTAAAATGGGGATAATGCTGATATTTACCAATGAATAATGACATCATAATTACAAAGAACATGTTTTAAGTGCCTGGCATAGAGGGGTGCTCACTGTACTAGTTTGCTTTGCTTAAAATATCATCTAAAAATGTTTTTGTAATGACTCCACGTGGGTCTCTCCAAACAGAATGTGAAGGCAGGAGCTTTGCTTTCTACTGATTTTTGCCAGGTGGGGGGAGAGGGGGGAGAGAGGGAAGAGAGAGGGAGGAAGGGGCAGGCTTAGGAACAAGAGAATGATCAGAGAAAATGGAAAGCTAGTGGCCCCTAGATGGCACCAGCATGCTAGGATCAGAGTCAGGGCCCCGCCCTTTCCTTTTGGGAGGAAAACAAAAGGAAGCCCAGAAACTTGTCCAGACTGAGCCTCAGCAGGGGAGCAGAGGAGGGACAGGGTTGGAACTCGGAAGGCACATTGAGGACCCTTTATTTTACAGATGAGGTCGCTGGGCTAAGAGAGGTTAAGGAATTTGCACAAGATCACACAGCCGACTGGTCCTCTAACTAGGAGTTAGGGTCTGTGATCTTTCTGCTACTCACCTGCTGAATGCCGGTCCTTGGGAGGGTGAGGAAGGGAAAGAGAGTGGAACCCAGGAAGGGGGAGTAGCGCACACGGCCTGGCACGGAGCAGGTGCTCAGCAAATAGTTACTCATGGATGGGCGAATGGAAAGGTGGGAGGATGAACTGATGGGCTCCTGACCATGGGGCGGGGACGAATTATTCCTCCCGTCGTTGTAAGCTGACAGCTGGGCAGAAGTGCACACATTCTCCCGCTTAATTCAGCAGACAAAAGCAGCTCAGACCTACAGTGGCTTCTCTGAAAATCTTGGAACCAAATATGATTCAGAATTCAGAACTTCTGGGGTCAGAAAAGTTAACACTGTGTGTGTTTATATCATAGAACACCCTCAGTGGAGTCTGTGATGCCACCTTGAAATCAAATATGGCAACGTTTCTGTAGCAAAAGAATAAATGATGTTTTGTTAATTCAGGTCAGATTTTGCCACCAAGTGAGTCTGCACCAAACTCAGAAATAAGCGTTTTGGAATTGCAGGGGCCAGGGACGAGTACAGCAGCATCCTACATCGCAGCTGAGGCATCCAAGGCCCAGAGAGCTCAGGTCACAGTGCAAGCTGGGCCTGCCCTGCTGCATGGCCCGTGCTGTGACACTAGGGCCACCGAAAGGTCTGGGGAGGGGGTGGGGCCAGCACTTACTTGCTGGTATCTTGTTAATGGGATGTAGGGGTCCGGACTGTGGCACCCACTGCCCCTCTGGAGTCACAAGTTCCTGGATGTCGGCCTTCACTGTGGAGTTCTGGAGATTTCCTGTGAGCAGGCAGAAGCAGCTCTAGGGTTTGGGATTTCTAAGGGGCTGGGTCTTGGGTCCAGGCTGGGGAGCGGGGCCTGGCCTGTCCACCCCATCCGCTCACCTCCGCAGGCGGGCAGGCTGCAGACCTGGACGGTGTCCGGCTTCTCCCCCTCGCACTGCCCGAGACTGTTGGCGCTGGTCCGGCACACCACCTGCCGCTGCTGGATGCCCTCCCCACAGGTGGCCGAGCACTGCCGTGGGAGGTCACGGCCAGGCCACAGCCGCCACGGTCGGGGTGGGTGGAGAGACAGAGAACGGGCCAGTGAGCTCAGAGTCCAGCCAGTGCCCGAGGACAGAAAGGGTAGAGAGCAGCATGCCAAGCCTTCCCCTGCTCAGAGAGACACGCAAGGGCTGCTTCCACAGAGCCTCAGCAGGACCCCACACCCGATGCCAAACACTCCTCTACCAGTGGCAAAGAGCTTCCAGCCCCCGGGCTTTCCACGATCTAAACAGTTAACCCCTGGCTCAGGGTGGGAGGACCTCGAGGGCCCCATTCCAGCTACCACTGCCTGCATCCGCTATGTCTGGTCTGTGCCGCCTGGGTTCCTAAACATTTTTTGTATGGCTCTGGCAAAGTCCCCTGCAGCAATCCACCATAGGTCGCGACCTGCAGTAGGCTGACTTGCATGTGACATCTTGTTAATGGGATGCAGGGGCCTGGATTGTGGCACCTGCTGCCCCACTGACTCGGTTTCCAACTCTATGAACCGAGAGAGCTGGGTGACAGGGTGTCCACAGACCTTTCTAGCTCTGATAGTCAATGATCTTGACACTCAGTTCACCAAACATCGGCTCGCAGAGGGATGTTCAAAGGTGTCCTCTTCCCTAAGAGGGGAAGGTGTGGGTGCAAGGAGCAGGAGGCAGCAGAGGACCACCGTTTGCAGGGGCTGCCACACGCATCGTCCCCTGGACCTGACACACCTCTTGCTGTGACAAATGGGTCACGAGGGGTCCTGGGGTGAAGGGGCAGGGACTCCAAGAAAGCAAGGCTGCCCAACGTGACCAGGTCACTTTTTAAGTGGCCTTGGCCTCTCCATTGGATGGGGAAGAACCCGTAGGGCTCCACTTCTCACATTGGACACGTGACCACTGAGCAAGACATGAGGGTCACGGGGCCGCACAGAACCACGGGACAAACATGGCTCATCCTCCCAGGATGAACAATGCAAACAACAGCTAACAGCTCTTGAGTGCTTTACCAGGCTCCCAAGGGGCTGTGAAAGCTGATTATAGGAATTGGGTCATTCTTGTCACACCCAACTGAGTTAGAGTCCAGGGGCCAGGGTGAAAAAAGCACGCGGGCACATACCACCTGCTCCAAGAACTGAATGTTTTGCCAGCACAGCTGCTGAAACGGCCTGCTGGAACCCTAAGGCCAGTTCTACCTGGAAGCTGCTGAAACAACCTGCCCTAACTCTAAGCCTAGTCTTCCCCACCGCTGTCACTGAGAGCTTGCCAGCTCCCAAGAGCTTCCCTAGTGCCAATGAGCTTTCGTTCAAAACAATACGTAACCTTTCTCTTTCTAATACACCCCAGCCTTTCTGTTCTTCATACGTACCAAAGACCACCCTATGTGTATGCCCCAAATTACAATTCTTACTTCCCAGACAAAATGTTAGATTTAGAGATTCGTCTCTGTATTTTACTTTGATTTCGAAAGGGCCAGTATCTTCCACCATCTGCCAACTCTGCTAGTTTTATTTATAAGGTCCTTTGAGGACCGGCATCTTTCTATTTTATATCAAAACGAATGAAGTCATATATTATGGAGAAGAACACAAAATCTGCACGAATGGCATGAGGGTTTTCAGGCTCTAAAAATACTCCTTATTATGCAATATTTCAAGCATATGGAAAAGCATGGAGTCGTTCACAAACGCCTGCCCAGACGCCGCCACCAGCTTTAATAAATCAGCATCCTGGACTATTTTCAAGTATTGCATGTGCTTCTCAAATGCTAAGGAAATGACAGTCACTGGAAGTGCGTTTTTCCCTTCCTCCCACAGTGCTTTTTCTCTCCGCAATTTATTCTGGATTAATAGAGGTTTATCTAGATCGGTAAGCACAGTTCAAGCGTATTCATTTTTATGGCTGTATAGTATTTTATCATATAACTACATCATGATTTCTTTGCCCAGTCTCCTGTAGGTGGATATTTCTGAATATTTTCCTATTACAGTAAACATCACTGTGCTGATGGCCTTGATCAAGTACGTTTTTAAAATTGCGGTGATACCTGAACAGCAAAGTTCACCACCTGAACCACTTTAATTGTACAGTTCAGTAGCATCAAACACATTCACATCGTTATACAACCATCACCACCACCCGTGTCCAGACTTTTCTTCTTTCCACACTGGAACTCCTCACCCATTACACAATAACTCCCCAAGCCTGCCCCCTCCCCAGCCCCTGGCAACCACCATCCGACCTTCTGCCTCTATAGGTGAGACACTCTAAGTATCTCGTATTAAGTGGAATCGCACAGTGTTTGTCCTTAGTGTGTGGCTTACTTCCGTTGCCTTAATATCTTCCAGGTTCACATCAAATGAGTGTTTGAGAGAACACCCAAGACATGGAACATTTCCCTGTGGCCACCTCCAGAGCCTGAGCCACACAGCATAGGATTACTCTGCAGCCCGACTGCTGTCTCCCTTTTTCTACCCCGGCCTCCCCACAATTAGCTGCTGCAGTGGTCTTTGAAACCTGAAATCAGAGCTTGCAACACTCTTCACTGGTTTCCCATTGCCCTTAGGATAAATTCAAACTCCTTCCCAAGCCCTGCAGAACCGGACCCCTGCCTGCCTCTCCAACATCATCCTCCCCGTAACTCTAGCCTCACTGTCCTCGAAGCTTCTGGAACATTGCACAATTGTACCTGCCTCAGTCTCCTCCTGTGGCTCATCCCTCAGGTCTCAGCCTGAACACCACCTCCTTAGAGAAGCCCTCCCTGACCACCTCTGTCCTTGATCACGCTGCCCTGGGGACTCCCACACAGCCCCAGCTGCTCTCTTCGAACACTTCTGTGGTTGGTTGACTTGTCAATCACGCCTCCCTCACTTCTGTGGTTGGCTGACTTGTCAATTACTCCTCCCTCGTGGGACTGTAGGGGCACAAGGGCAAGACAGGTCTGCCTGGTTGATGCCAGGTTCCCGAATTCCTAGTACAATGCCTGACACATAGCTGGTGCTCAGTAAACACTTCTCGAATGCAAGAATGTGCTTGAATCTGCTCAGCTGGGACATGGGGACATTAACCCGTGCCTCCCAGCACTGTGGGGAGCTCGCAGGAGACAGTGAATGAGTGCAAAGGCCGGCACGGAGCCCAGGCGCAGCAGCACAGCATACATGGGAGCCGTTCAACTTTGTTTTGAGAAAAACCAGATGAGATGTGGGGAGAGAAATTCCGCCAGAAACTCTCTGCCTGCAGGGAACACCAGAAAATCCCTCAGACCCACCTCCTCCCCTGCCCCTCCCACCTCCAGGGGACCACTCACCTGGGACCAGGCTCCCGTCCGCCACTGGGCTGGGCAGGGCACGCGGAGGCAGGGCCGCCGAGCCTCAGGCCGGTCCCCGGAGCAGGCCTTGGCCGGCATGGCCTTGCGGGTGCCATTGGAGAGGGGCAGCAGGCACTGTACCCCCCGAGTCTGCACCCCCAGCTTCCCGCAGCTCCGGCTGCAGGGGCTCCACTCTTCCGTCACCCACCTGGAGACAGACAGGGTGGGAGGAGGAAGGAAGTGAGACCAAGGAGATACTTCCTCCCAGGGGCCACCTCCCACCCCTAGACAGCTACAGGCAGGAGCCAGAGTGTGTGTGGACTTCAGAACGCTTGAGGCGCGAGACGACTGTCCACCTGGCTGTGTGGCCTCGGGGAGGTCACTACTCTTTCCTGAAAAACAGGTACAATGCATACTTAAATGCTGGCACCATGTGTGTCCTTGGGCAAGCTGGAAACCCCTCTGAGCCTTGGTTACCCCATCTTGACATCAGGACTGTCTCAACGCCCCATAAATATTTGTGTGCCTACCACATGCAGGTACCGTGCTGGGTGCTGGGTGCTGGGTGCTGGGTGCAGTGCATCAGACAGAGCAAAGCCACACTTTCATCATAGATGCCCCCAACCTCCTGTGGGGCTCCTGGGACAAGAGCACTATTACTGTCACCATCATCACCCACAGAGCTTTAGCACTGAGCCGCTACGCTGGTGGCCTGCCAAGTGTCTTTTAGCCACAGAGCAACTTCCAACAGCCTCTTAAGCAGACACCTGTTGGATGAGTTTGATGAAAGTAAAATTGCTCTGGTAGGGGTGGAGGGAGGGGACGCCCCAACTCCTACTCCCTTTCGGTTTCCCGAGGCCTCTGAGAGTAAACCGGGGCTCTTTCAACCCCTTCATGTAAAAACCAAAACAAAACCCCGAGGTGGCGGGGGGTCACCCATGCAGCATCCCAGGCGGAGTTAACCCTGCATGTTCTGTGGTCACACACATTTGTGGGGAAAGGAGAGTAACAGCACGAAGTAACAAGTAAAAGAGAAGCACAGAGGGTGGTTATGGAGCTGTCCTGGCAGAGGAGGGGCAGGGTATGACGCCTGGCCTGGGCACAGGGAGGCCACCAGCTCCTGCCCTGGCCCCCACCCCAGTCCCATGTCCTGGCCTGGGGCTCCCAGGAGCTGCTGTCAGCCAGCAAGGCCCAGTCAGCACACCTGTCCCCACAGGGTGGACCCTGGGGAAGCAGGGGATGGACAAGACCCTCTGCAGTTTCCCACCGGCCAGCCACCTTCAGCCTTGGCCCACCTGGGGGTGCCAGGGGAGCCTTGTGGAGGCTGAGGACGTTCTGGCGCTGGCTCTGCAACAGGCCTCAGCCTCCTCCACAAGTCAGAGCTCTCCTCTCCCCGAAGGCTTCTCCAAATAATCCCAAGAATATGACCTTGTGCTCAGAGTGTGCCCTCAGGCCGGGGAATCAAGATCAGGGGCTGGACCACGGCTGAGGGCTGGCAGTCCAGGCCGTGTCCCTGGACCGCTGAGGACTGGGCAGGGAGGAGGCATTGGAGAGCGTCCTGGCCTGGACTTGCAGCCCGGAAGCACTGAAATCCACGTTGCCTCTATGGCCCCCCCGGATTGCCGAGGAAAGCTGTGTCCCCAAACTGTGCCTCAGTTTCCCATTGGTAAAGAATGCTGGGAAGGGCAGACAAAGGAAGCCTCTTCTTTCTGATGGACAGGCATGCAGGGTGGGCGCTGGGAATCCTGGCAGCAGGGCTGTGTCTCCATGACCCGGTGCTGGGAGCCCTCAGCAGCCCTCAGCTCAGCAGCCCTCCTCCTTCCTCATGAGCCAGGACAACACATAGGACCAAACTCCTTGTCCCTCCCCAGGAGCACTCACGCAGGCTGGGAGCAGGGGTGCTGGTTGCAGTGCCGGCGGATGGGCTTGGGCCTCTTCTTGTGGTCACACAGGTGCCGCTGCACCATGTGGTGGTCACGTCTGCGCCGGCAGCCGTATTTGGTGAACTGGAGCCCTGTGGGAGGGCAGGCTGCCATGGGCCTGGTCTGCCAGGGCCTCAGGGGCGGTGTCCTGGGGGGAGCCTTGAGCACTGCTCCCACTTCCCCGTGTGCCTCTGCACGCCCACCTGCCCATCGCTTGCCAAAGGACGCCTTCCTGACCAGCCCCGTCTCACTGTGAGGAAGTGGCTCTGCATGGCTGCCTGTCCCCACGGTGGGCGAGCGCATAGGGCAGAGGCCCTGCCCTGGGTACCGCTCTAGCACCCCAGCCCCATCCCAAGTGCCCAGCCCAGAATGGGCTTCCACACACTGGACCTCTCCAAGGAGAAGCTGAAGCATGAGCAAGGACATGTCAAATGGAGACAACCTCAGCCCCTGTCCCCACCCCTCGAGAGGCCCTGTGGGGTCGGGAGAGCCAGTACCTCCCCCACAGGCCTTGGTGCAGGGTGCCCAGCTCTTGAGCGCCCACTCGTAGGTGTCCGTCTCCTCCAGGAGCACGTTGTTGCTCCCAATGAGGGGCAGCAGGTCCTCATGGATGACATACTTGTAGGCCAGGCTGCTGCGGGGGCCACCCTCAGCTGCGGGGAGCACCTGAGGGGAAGCAGGAGGCCGCACAGGACCAGAGAGAGAAGTAAGGCCGGGGTCAGGGGGGTGGAGGGGCCAGAGAAGGCTGTGGGGTCGGAGCAGAACAGGGAACGCTGGGATGAGGTCATGCCGAGCGTGGATACTGGGGGAGACATTCAGACCAGCGGTCACGTGACAAGCTCTGGCTAAACACTGCTGAGAGCAGCGATGCTTCTGTGAACACCCTTCCCTTCCACTGGCCTAAGTTCTGATGGGGGCAGGAGCTGCACCTGCCAGTCGGTTCCGCTCACTAGAGCATCGCACAGCCTGGCTCTGCAAGATGGTCAATGGGCACAGTCTTGGTGCTGGGCCCTCACCAGAGACGTGATTTGCAAGATTTTCTCCCAATCTCCATGTGGTCTCTTCACTTTCTTGATAATGTCCTTTGATGCATTGAAGTTGCAATTTTAATAAAGTCAAATTATCTATTTTCTCTTTTGTTGCTGATGCTTTGGTGTCATAGCTAAGAATCCAAGGTCATAAAGATCTACCCCTCTGTTTTCTTCTAAGAGTTCTATGGTTTTAGCTCTTATATTTAGGCCTTTGATGTATTTTGACTTAGTTTTTATGGATGGTGTGAAGTAGGGGTCCAACTTCATTCTTCTGCATGTATATATCCAATTGTCCCAGGACTGTGTCTTGAAGAGACTGTCCTTTCCCCACAAATGGACTTGATATTCAAATCAGCTGGTCATAGATGCATGGGTGGTCAATAAATACAAGGCAAATAGAAAATATGGGTTGGATTGAATTAACATGCTGGCACCAATAGGCCACAGAGCCTGACCTCCAGGAGCTCCCCAACTGATGAGGGTGACACAGGAAGCTGCCACCAACCAGGGCCAAGGATGGAGTTCCTCATGGTCTGGCTGCTGGGTTAACAATCCCTGCTCCACAAGCCCTGGCCGATGGTCTAGGAAGGGGGATGTGGGTAGAGATGGGCCCCAGCCAGGACAGTAGCCCTGTCCCCTTCTCAGGAGGCCGGCACCTCGGGTCAGCTGCCTTAAAGGCCCAAGGATGCCACTCATGGACTGAGTTGCTGGCTGTGCCATGACACACGCTGACTCTAGATGATGCCGGGGTGACATGGGGAGCCAGCCTGCCCCTGCCGACACCTTCCTCCGGGTCCCACTTCTGACCCTGCATTAAGGAGAACAGACTCCCTGTGTGTGACATCTGGGGTCTGACAGCGAGGAGACAACCCTTTCCTTTTCCCCTCCTCACTCGCCATCCTGCCAGCTTTTAAGCACAGAAGAGGAGCTGACCCCAGGACGGAGGGGTGCCTTGGTCTTCCCAGAAAGGTGATTTCCACCAGGCCCACGCCAGCTCAGCAACAGGGGCGGCAGCTAGGGGGACAAGGGGGTGGGCAGGGGCTGCCATGTGGAGTGTAGCTCACCAGGACTGTGATGGCCTCAGGCAGGGGCCCGCTGGTCTTGAGGCTCTCCTTGGAGTCCTCCACTGCGTCCTCCCACTCCAGGCCCATGGCGGTGAAGGTCCGGCTCGCGGCTCCCTTGCCCTTGGGGTTGAGGATGAAGCTGCCCGTCACCTGGTTCTTCACCACTGGCCGGTGGGGCAAGAGGGTCACAGCGATTTCTCCCCCCTCCACAGGGGGCCGTGAATATGACATTCAAGGCCTTCCCAGTGGGCCCGTCGGGACTCCCCTGTCTACCTGCCACTCCTCCCCACCTGAGCCCTCCTCACTCAAACAGGTCTATACACTGTCTCTCTTCTACCCCTTGAATCTGGGCTTGGCCCTGTGACTTGGGCCAATGGGACACTGGAAAACATGATGTAAGCAAAGACTTACATCATGAAAAGTGCTTGCACACTGGGGCTTGCCCTGTCTTGCTACTCTTGAGGACGAGGACAGACACCATGTGAATAACACCGGGTTAACCTGTTGAGGACATAGCCCTGTTACCTGTATAACCACAACTGACAGCCAGTACCAACCACCAGAAATGTGAGTCAGGCCATCCTAGATCAACAGCTGCCAACAGACCTACCAACTGACAACATTGGCATGAGTCCATCCAGGCAGATGAGTAGAAGAACCAGCTAGCAGAGCCCAGCCCAAACTGATGACCCACAGAAGCAGGAGTTAATGAATAATTGTTTGAAGCCACTGAGTTTTAGGGTGGTATGTTATGCTGTGAAAGCTGACTGATACACTCTGTGAAAATGGTTTACCTTTAAAAGCCATCTATGTGCACAAGAAATTATTAACTGTGGTTGCCCCTAGGGGATAAGAGTGGAAGAGGGACTCTTTACCCCTTTTAGACATTCTGATATTCAACCATGGAATGGGTTACCCATTTAACACAAATTAGAAAATAAAATAGGCTAGGCATGGTGGCTTACACCTGTAATCCCAGCACTTTGGGATGCTGAGAGGATCCCTTGAGCCCAGGAGTTCGAGACCAGCCTGGGCAACATACTGAGACCCCGTCTCTACAAAAAACAGAAAAAATTAGCTGAGCGTGGTAGCATGCGCCTATAGTCTCAGCTACTCAGGAGGCTGATCCCAGGAGTTCAAGGTTACAGTGAGCTATGACCGGGCCACTGCACTCCAGCCCAGGCAACAGAGTGAGATGCTGTCACAAAAAAAAAAAAAGAAAGAAAAGAAAGAAAAGAAAGAGAAAGGAATAAAGGAAGAAAGAAAGAAAAAGGAAGGAAGGAAGGAAGGAAGGAAGAAAGGAAGAAAGAAAGAAAAAGGAAGGAAGGAAGGAAGGAAGGAAGGAAAGAAAAAGGGGTTCTCTGCCCATTGTTTAAGTCTGTGAAATTCCTCCTACACTAGAATCTTGCCCTCTGCTCTCCTGGCTCCCTCAAATTGGAGGACAGGGCCAGGCCCCACTGCCCTCTCCCCATACCCCAGTACTCACCAATGCGGTTGGGTGCCTTCTCCAGGGCCTCAATCTGGATGTGCCTGGCACCCGCCGGGATCTGCACCAGTTTGGCTCCTGCCACACAGGATCCGGAAGCGCAGTGAGCATCCTGAGCTGGGGGCCCCACAGCCAGCATCCCCCACTCCCCACTGGGTACCCGGGAACGTCCCATTTGATCACTGAACCTCTCCAAACCTCTGTCTCCTCATTTGTAATCTAGGGATGGGACCTTTTCCATGGGGTACTGGGAGGATCAAATGAGATCCTCTAGCTTAAAGGGCCCTGTAAATTTTAAGGGCCTCTGTGTGTGTGTCACTATTGTTTCCCACTTTCGTGACCCTCTTATTCTCTCACTTACACCCAGTTTCCTCCTTTTTGCTCCCTTGGCTTTCTCTCCCCTTCTTTCTTCTCACACCTTAAGCTACTTACTATTGAAGGGATTTAGATGAAACAGGCCATGAAGTTCCCACATGACTGTCCTAAGCCCCCGTGGCCATCCTGATCCAAGCCTTTCTCGGAGCCACCAACCTTTCCCCTTCACAATGAAAGGCGAGGCAAAACTGCAATATCCCAAAGGAGAAATAGATCCAGTTCATACTAAAGTGTAAAGGACTAATATCTGGCTCTTTTCTCCAGCAAGTTTGGTCAGATTGGAGGTAGAGATGAAAGGCAAGGAA